TATATATATATATATATATATATATGTATGTATGTATACATACACAGAGTGCAAAATGTTGCCATTTTATATTTTTAATTTTGAGCATGCATGTCAGTGGTTTTCAACCTTTTTTGCTGGAGCAGAACCACAAGGAAACATTCCAGTGGCTTGAGGAACCCCTGCAATAAATTGTCTTATGCAAAAAAAAAGCTTTCATTTATTAAAATAAAATAAAAATACTCATCTTCAGATTTATTTACAAAAAAAAGTTTCATTAAAATCTGACAATTATTTGATTTTTGCTAGAATTTCCAAATTAATGTGTCTGTCACCGAAAAAAAGTGGGTGATATAATTTCTACGTTTTCCATTGTAAAACAGTCATAATGTTTGTTTAACCGCTGACTCAAATCAAAACAAAATTTTCTGACAAAATTTCGAAAATGTTCGAAGAGATTAAAAAATTTTAAAAAATAATTAAAAATTACTTTGATCTTTCCTCTTAATAAAAATATAAACATTTTGATGGAAAAAGTTTGTTTTATTAAGTTTGGGACCTTTTTTTATTCATACTATGCTGTTTTGTTATTAATTTAGTGGAGGTACCTAAACACACATATCTGCACAGGAGAATTAAAAATTACTGTCAATCATAGTACTTGTGTAACTTCTTGTGGAACGCTAGGGTTCTGCGGAACCCTGGTTGAAAACCACTGATGCATGTTGTTTGTTTTTATTAAGTTGACTGTACAGTATAGCAGGCTCAGTTGGGTAATATCTGTGAGAAATAGAGCACCATGACACAATTCCCTCTGGCAGAAATTTGGAAACAACATGCTGTACTGCTTGGCATTTGTGCTGGAAGCTCCAATATGAACATTTCATTGTGTTTTGGGTGTCAATCTGTGGAAAGGATTTGGAAAGAGTTGGATATGTTCTAATGGAGACTATAAAGGTATGGCAGCAGAGAAATCTGACTGATTGTTCTGATAAGAAAAGAACTCCTGAATTTGTTGCTCAGACCCAGGCTATGATTGACAGTAAGCCCTCCATGTCAATCAGGTTCATAGCCAGGGACACAGGAATATCAATGTTTCTTATCAGGCAGATAGTGCATGAATCCATTTGGTATTTCTCATATGAGAAAAGGATAATTTTTATCTTAAGCCATGAAGGACTAGAGGAAAGACCATGGTACAAAGCTTTTGAACAAACTCAAGCATCCTCTCCAACTGAACATTCTTTGGTTTTTCTCAGATGAGAAAAATTTCTGATAGGATAAGATGGTGAATACACAGAACAACTGTTGGCTTGCAGTGTCCCCAAAAGATGTGAATGATGAAAACCAAATATTCAGTCAACATTATGATGTTTGGAGTGATCACTAGTGATGGTGACATTATGCCTCCATTAATCTTCCCACAGAACCTCAGACTCAACATGGATGCCTACATCAAGTGCCTTGAGGAGGTAGTGCTGTCCTGGGTCAAGAGAGTGGCTGCTGCAAGACCATGTGCCTGGCAACAGGACTCTGCACCATGCCACACAAGCAGGAGATCCCAGTCCTGCCTGTCAAACAATTTCTGCAACCACATTGCCCCTTACAATACATCTGGCCATCTAACTCCCCAGACTGCAACCCCCTTGATTATTATGTGTGGAGTATATTTGATCAAGAGACCAACAAAATTCCTTGTAATACCAAAGATGAACTGAAGGCAAGGGTTATGGCAGCATTCATCAACTTAAGCAAAGAGACCATTTAGAAGAGATGCAGGAGATTCTGAAGTTGTCTGGAGGCTAATGCCAATTTTATTGAATAAACTATCAGCATGGCCTGGCGTTGACTGTGCTTGATTCAAAAATTGTACGACTCATACAGCAATCGCTATCACTTGACTTAAAATATTTTTGCCCTTCCTTGCCTTTAAAGGAGTGCCCTTTGCCATGCTGATGTTGCTACATGCCTTACTTCTTGCCTATCTCACACTGTAATTTTTTTCTAAGCTCTATACTAAACATTAAATCTGTTATTAAAAAAAGAACTAAACAAAATGAACACAAAACGATCAGCTTTAAAAAAGGACTCGTAACTGGAAAAACCAAATGAAAAAAGAATGTTAACAACAAATACTTTTTCACACCCAACCCAGTTCTGTGGAATCAGAATCAACGTTGAGTTTAAGCAAGCGAATGAGCCAATTGGAGTAAAGTGCCATGCAGATTTAAATTTTTCCCACTTGTGATGAATGCAGCTATCAATTTTTTTTGCATGTTAGCATGCTTGTTAACATTCATGTCAATCAGCTGTTGGCTCTCATGCTGGCCAATAGAATCTTCCTGCCTATTCGTGGCGACCAGCTATAGGCTCTCACTCTGGCCAGTAGAAAATGGCCGCAAACTACATGAAAAGTGCCATAGAAGCATGAAAAAATCGATTATTTCCACTATCGATGGGAGTTGGAAAATGCAAAGTCAGTCTTGGCCTTCCTGCTAACTTGGAGCATGTGCATGTAAATTTTGGTGCAAATCTGTCAAAAATTGTGGCCGTTCATTCGTTACACACACACACACACACACACACACATTCCACCTTTTATAGATAGAGATTTAGTCTTTAGTATTTCAAGATATTTTTGTGTAATTTTGGTAAACATATCTGTTGAGATGTCAGTGTTATTTTCATTTTTGTGTAATTCAGATGACAATTAATCCATCGCACTTATATATATATATATATATATATATATATATCTACATCTTACTTTAATGACATGATTTTCAAAGCTGCAAGCAAATGAAAAAGTCCATATTCTCTAGGCATTAGTGTAAATGGACACTGCCATTTTCTATATATTTAAACTATTATTATGAAGTATAATTTTGAAAAGTGAATATTTCACTGAAGTATGTTGGAAATTTTCTAAGTCTTCATCTCAAGTCAAGAAAATATGAACTTTAAGCAAAATGGTCACATTATATGGAAAAAAAATACGACATTAGTTTAAACTAACACCAAGAAAATACATTAAAGTCAATTTTATTTTGCATATTTTTGTATTTTCTATATATTTTGTATATTAATTTATTTTCTTGTAAAATTTAACAAATGGAATTTTCTATTTTATGCTATATATTATATTTGTATGTTATCATACTTTTGCAAAAAAGAATTGTAAATCCTTGTTATGCTGAGGTGGTGAGGAAGTCTAGACCAAGACATAGCTTCAAGACTATGATTACTTCACCTATGCTAATACATCATGAGCCAATGTGGCAGTGAAAACCCAATCACTCCCTACATCTCATGCTTTTATAACAAAACACTGGCTATTCCTGTGAGGTCAAAGGATTTAATTTAAAGCCCAGCCAAGACACTTTTGTTGGATAGGTGTGAAGTGTGTCAAAGGCAACTACCCAAACACAATTTCAAAAACTGCACCAAAAAGCACTTACAATGTCAGAACTCTTTCTAAAGAAATACACCTGACCAAGTTTGAAAGCAAAACTGAAAACATCAAATGGGACATTGACTGAAATTAGCAAAATTAGATCTGGAGAAAAACTAGTTAAATTTAAAAGCAAACACCTTTACAGTATCAGAAACAAAAAAGAAAAACAAAGAGTTAACTTTCTCATTCACAAAGACCTGAAAAAAAAACAAACAATGTGGTAAGATTCAAAGCTACTTCAAATCACATATCCAATGTCACTATACGGCTCTGAAAGTGGTACAAACTAAGCATCATTGAAACTTACCTTCTCACTTGACAGTCAACCAAGAAGGAGTTAGAGAAATTTTACAACTCTCCATTTCAAGATATCAATGATCATTTCAATATGATTAGAGAGGAATTTAAGGTTTAATTCAAAGGTTGGATGATAAAATAAAAACTGTTGGCAAGTACAAAAGGAAAGTGGAAGAAATATTGTCAACTTTGTAACATTAGGTGTTTTCAAAATGATGAACATTGTAAAAAAGAAAACAAATAAAAATTAACTTAAAGAATGGCTGCCAGAATTAAAAAGGCTTACAACATATGCATTCTTGCAGCAGTCACCTACAGAGGTGAAATATGAAATTTAACCAAGAAATTGGCTTTTAAACTAAGAATCTTGAAACCTACAAAAAATGAATCCTGTTAAACATCACCTGGAAAGACAGTAGAATAGAATATTAAAGAATAAAGAGGTATCATGGGTATCCACGAATTCATTAGCAAATTTAAATGGCAATAGCCAAGCTATGTTGCAAAACCAACAACTTTTGGACATAACAAATCATAATATGGATCTGTTAAGATTATAATCAAAATTGTGGCTAGCAGAAAATTAAATGGCATGATTTTATTTACCTGACCCCCCTATGAAGATAGGTTGTAACACAGGGTCTTTTTAATGTGTTGTGCTTATATCTGTACATATGAGCCAAGGACAAAATTGCCCAGACATCATGACCTCTATTACATACCAATTCTACCTATTTTAGTGCAATGAAGGAGATACTGCTGAAGGGTTTGAATCCCTGGAATCAGGTGCCTTCTCTTGTAAAATGAGGAGAACAGATATTACACATTGATCCAAGCCCAAAGGCTGAGAAGCAATATGGTTTGATGATTTGGATAGATACAATATGTTTTGGCATTGGGATTCTTAGGACTGAAAAAGCTGGCAGACACTGAAGAAGATCTATGCCCAACAAAGGACTTTAATGGCTGATTAGGAATAGTCTGGAATAGCAATTCCTGAAGTCACTCCAGTTGTTATTGCAGTGGAAGGTCTCAGCTCAGAGTAATGACCACCCTTTGATGCCTATTATTTTTTGTACAATAGAAGGAATTTAATCTTGTAATCATATTCATTTGTAATGGGGGTGGTATTAATGATCAAAGAGTGGGCTTGATTATAGTAGTTCAACAATATTTACTGAGAGGGAAGGAAGTCTTTCTGAAGAGAATTTGATTCTATATAGTATATACTCCATTTAGCAATTAGAAACTCGATACTGAATACTCTAAAATATTTATTATTCTGAAATGTTAATCCATTTTTTTTTGCTGACAAAAATCATTATTAACTTTCATATGTAATTCTATCCCTCTTTTAAAATGTGATGTCCCTTCAGGATTTCGGTGATCATGGCTCTCTGTAAATTGTGCATTGCTATTGAAAAGATAGTGGTGTAGTTTTCCATTGCTTTCTCCATGGTTTTGAATTCAGAGTTTTCCTTCTCTGAAACTGGTTAGAGAGCCCGGCTATTTAAGTTTTAGTTGGAAGGAGAAAAAAATGAATTCTTTTAATTTTTAGTGTGAAGTTTAATTTAATTTTTGTTTAACGTTTAGTGGGAAGTAAAGTAATCCATGAGAGTCATGAATAACTAAAATAGTTAAATATAGTAAAATTAAGCTACTAAAATTTGTTCTTTAAATGCAGTTCAAAATCTTTTTCCTGTATTTTTGACAGTGACTGGGAAGCAGAAAGAAGTACATTTAAAAGAGATTTTCTTTTAACAATTCTATTTTAAGACTCAAACATGTTAAATTAAAAAAAGAAATTATATATTATTATAAAGATAAAATAATCTGAAAGGAAGCAATAGTTGCACCTACATTATAGAAAAGATTATTATAAATCACAATAGAAAAATAAGAGAGAGAGAGAGAGAGATGTGATAGCAAAAACCCTGTAGATGTAACTGCAGAGTGAAAGAGGAATGTCCTTTGAGCATGTTTGGTAAGGGATGTTGTTTATGAAGTCATGGCATTTAGTGGGTAGAGAGACCAAATATCACATAGGAGTTCTAGAGTGTGAATAGAAAAAACAATACTATAGCTATAAGATGAGTTTGAGCAAAAGTAAATACAAAGGTAGCACTAATCTTTCTAACGACTGCTGGAACATCATTAACTGCTGAAAAGAAGTACCTATCATCACATGGAAAGTACTGGCCAAATGAATTAAGACAGAAGATAACTTGAATAAACTTAATAATCTTGTATTTCTTTTTTTTATATCTATTTTTTAATGTTCTTTTTGTCATTATACTAAGTTCACTTGAATTTTCTACTCTGGATATGGAACTGACCATGAGAGAAACACTTGAATAATTTTCTAATGTTTAAAAATTAATAAAAATTGATTCAGCAAACTTTATATTTTTCACTTGTTTAAATAATTTGATTGTTTTTACTTATTTAGATAATTCCATAAAAGATTTTTCAGCTGCATTTGATGAATTTGTAGTAATGTGAAATATCAGATGACAATGTTTATTATGAATGTTGTAGGTTTTTCAACTTATGACTGAATTTTGACAAGGCAGATATAAATTCATTCTATATACAAATGGGAGGAATTTAAAAATAAAACTTTATAAACAGAAACACTGCTTATATATATCAACATAATATATATTAAAAATTTGAATTAAAAATTAATAATATAGATGGAATACAGGCTGTGATGGGAAAATTGTTGACATTTTGTATTTTTAATTTCGTGCATGTGCATTGCTTGTTTTTGATTTTGTCAACTGCACAGTATAGTAGGGACAGTTGGGCACCATCTGTGAGAAAAAGAGCACCTTGACACAATTCACTCCACCAGAAACTTGAAAATGGTACTGCTTGGCATTTGAGCTGGAAGCTCCAATACAAACATTTCTGAACATCTGGGTGTCAATCTGAGGATTGTGCAGAGGATTCAGAAAGACTTTAATGAGTATAATGGTGATTATGAAGATACAGCAGCAGCTCGGAAAAATCAGTTCTGATAAGAAAATAACTCCCAAATTTGTTGGTGATGGCCTCAGACACAATATAAAGCCTACATCAAGTGCCTTGAGGAGGTAGTTTTGCCTTGGTGAAGAATATGGCTGCTGGAAGATCCTATGTCTGGCAACAGGACCCTGCATCATGCCACACAAGTAAACAGTTTCTGTGACCACATCACCACTTACATCTGGCCACATAACTCCCCAGACTGCAACCCCCTAGATTATTGTGTGAGGGGCACAGTTGCATGAGAGACCAACAAAACTCCTTGTTCAAAGATGAACTGAAGGCAAGAATTATGGCACATTTCACCAACTTAAATAAGGAGACTATCCAGAAGAGTTGCAGGAGATTCCAAAGTCGTCTGGAGGCCATACTTGAAACCAATGGCAATTTTATTGAATAAATTTACTCTTTAGTATTTCATGGTATTTTTGTGTAAATTTGGTAAATATATCTGTTAAAATGAGATGTCAGTGTTATTTTCATTTTTGTGCAATTTAGACGACAATTTATCCATTGCACCCTGTAGAATGCTTTTAAAAACTGATATGCAAATTAAATGTTAGTGTTAATGTTGTAAATGCCATTTGTTAGTAATATATAAAAAAATGAAGGTAAGCACTCACTATGCGTAAACATTGCAGGCTGTTTTGTTCTGATGTAAGACATACAAACAAAATTTAGATTTCAAACAGATTTCTTAAAGAGAAAACAATAATAATATTATTTAAGATAAACAAATAAAAAAATGAATAAAAATGATATGAACAAACAAGAAATGAGAAAATTTGTTGGCAAAGTAAAGAAAAAGAACAAAGAAAAATGTCTTCTTACCTGAGCTTTTGCCGCTTTCCATCGATTGAAACCAGCTCGAAGTAAAATTGCAAAATCTCCAACTTCATGAGGAATTTCATGTAACAGAATGGCTATGGTTGTTATAATCCCAACCTTCAAAACAAAAAGATTTTTTTTATTCATCTGTTTTAAGTAAGATAATACAGATCATGTATACTTGTTTAATATTTATATAAACTCTTTGTGGAAGAAAATCATGGCTGATGCTAACCTCCAAGAGAGTGAATCATTGCACCTTCTTGGGATAACAACATGAAGTGGAAAGATTATATTGAATAAATTGCTAGGTCTGCTGTCAGGAAAGTTGGTTCACTGTGTTGTACTAGACAATTTTTCTCTCCAGAATATATTTTACACATTGCTAAGTCTACCATTCGGCCAGGCATTGAATATTACTGCCACATCTGTTCTGATGCTTCTGCTGTGTATTTAGAGATTCTAGATAAAATACAAAGAAGAATCTGCAATGTTATTACTTCTGACTAGGCATCTTGGCTCCAGTTACTTTCCCACCAGAGTAATGCAGCTTCCTTGTGCCTCTTCTATAAATATTTTCATGGTAATTGTTCTGATGAACTTTGCTCTATGGTACCTAGACTTTATGAATTTAAGCGCAGTACCAGACTGGTGGCAAGGTCTCATCATTTTAGAGTATAAATAACTAGATATAACCATAAGTTCTATGCTAACAGTTTCTTCTCTGGCACTTCTTGCTTGTGGAACTCTCATCCAGCTTCTTGATTTCTAGTCAACTTTGATCTTCAAAAATTTAAATGCAATGTCATTTGTTATCTTCTGTCTTAATTCATTCTTTTATTGTTCTCTCTTCTTAATAATGCTTTCTTTTTCTTATATTCTCTCACACTCAATAACCTCTTGTGTCTTAGTGGTTTTATTGCCTTGTTCATGGTCAAATGATTTAAAAAAAAAAAAAAAAAAAAAAGGATTGCATCCACACTATGCTAGCAAATTCTATATTCATATAATTTGTCAAATTTTAAGTTTTTCCATATGATTAAACTCTTTCATGTTGCTGATGCGGTTAATCACAATGTTTTAATTTATCTATTCTTTGACCTTCGTCAGATGTATAAGAGTCAATGTATATTGATTTGCTAGTCAGGTGCTGACAAACTAGTATGAGATAAGCTAGTATACACTTTAGTATTGTGTAATTTTCTTTGCTGGACTAAAATATTTGAAACCTTTCCTGTGTATAAATAGGAAATAGCTGAGTATAGAGGTGGTAGCAAGATTTCAGCTGTGAATCTAACATTTCTAAAATTAACTGATCTGGCTGGTATATTAATTTCTATTTTTTTGTAATCATTTTCTGCATGAATGCTGATGAATGGATGAGATAAAATGAAGTAACAACATTATGAAGGAGTTTAACTGACTCAAGAAAATCTGAAATGTTACAGACAATATTTTATTTATTTTTAGGTTATTTTTAATTTTTCTTCTTTTTTTAAACACTATATTAACTCATTAGGTTAATTAAATGTTAAATTTTTGAACAGGGCACCAAGTGAAAATCAAAATCCTCAGTAGTAATCATCTCCCTAGCTAGCCTTTTTAACCATCACCCTATCCTGAGATGTCTGTTATAGACAAGTATCAATAATTTCTCTATAAATACTATATTCAATAAATCAAGAAAAGTTCAAGTGATTTATCTGGTTAGCTGATAAATCAAACATCTGGCCATTATGAGTGTTTCAATGCAAAACTCTTGAGTCGGCTAACAAGATAACTCACTGGAACTTTTCCTGATTTATTGAATGTTGTAGCTCACTGGAACTTTTCCTGATTTATTGAATGTTGTTTTGGCAGAAGTTTTTCTAGCTTGGAAAACCACATATTTTTTCAGTTGTAGTATTATTATGCTGAATTTGGATAAATATTTCAAGGGGATTCTGATAAATCATTTACCATCTATAAACACTTGTCAAATACACTATATTACATCACCAACTTTTATGAAATACTAAAAGAATTTAAATATGTCTATTTACTATTACCACCATAACAAATGATGTTATGTAAAATGTCCCCAAATCAATGTGGATAACCACTATACATAAAAATTCCTACTAGACTCACACATGCAGATACATAAAACAAATATACATTATTATCTGAATCATAGACAAACTAGAATCATGATACACACAAATATATACATGAATGCTGCTTTATAAGACAAAATGCATGCAAAATCTGCTTAACCAATGGAAAACAAACAACAAAAAGGAAAAATACCAGAATATTTTCTCTTTCTTACGTTTCTCTTCATATTTTATTCCCTGATGAAGCTTTAATAAAGGCGAAATATGTTAAATTTATAAACATTTCCTATTTTTTCCTTATATATATATATATATATATATATATATATATATAAAAAAAAAAAAATCGATACAGAATCCCGAAAAAGTTTTGAAGAAATATGACAAATGGAAAATCATTTCACTGAAACTAAATTTGAAAAGGTGAAATGCATAATCAAATCTAGTTTCAATAAAACAGCTTTCCATTTGTCATATATATATATATATATATATATATATATATATATATATATATATATGTATTGGGGGAGCAGATCATTATTCAAACATATCTTATTAAATATAATAGACAATAAGTGTCTATTATGAGCTGTTCTAAACTTTGTATGGTTGCTTTAATTTCGGGGGAAAATAAAGACAAAAATTGTCCAACAGTTGGTTATTTTTTTTTTTTATTATGCTCTTCCTTGATCTAAGCTTTTGACTCACATGAGCCATCTTCAGTGTGGTTACATTTCTAACTAGTCACAGCACATTACATTGCATCTAGACATAGGGCTCTGTCATTAATATTTCAGTCTCTCACATGGTACGACCTCATAGAAGCACATCATGAATTTACGACTTGCATCTGCTATTCTATTTTCATGTAACAATCTTCTATGTCAACAGGATATCATCTTTGATGGGGGTTATCTTTGTTTAAATGTCCATATAACCACTCTGAAGAAGTACAAACAATAACACCCTATATATATATATATATATATATATATATATATATATATATATACACACAGGACATATCAAAAAATACTTCTACAAACTTTGGAGGAAGGTTCCTGATAGCAAAACAAGGTAAAATGTCAATATAAACATATGTCCAAAAGGCCATCGTTGTACCTCAGCACAGCAACTCATAACAAATATTCAAAATGTTCTTCACTTGCTTCTATACATGCATGCACCCATTGGTTCATTGACTGGCAAACCGTTTCAAATACCCCCATATATTGAATGGTTTTAAGACCCCCATAACACATTGATGAAGCGTCTCTGTATTATTAATGTATGCTGTATAAACCAATTGTTTTAGGTGACCCAACAAATAAAAATCCAAAGTATTGAGGTTGGGGGGAACATGCAGGTCATGGAACCAGTCCTCCCCTACCTATCCATCTTTCATGGTAGATGTCAGCCAGTGCATTATGAACAATGTGACTAAAATATACTGGAGTCACATCATGCATGAACTACATGTGTTTTCATATTAGTAGCGATACATCCTCTAGCAAGTCTGGAAGTATGTTTAAAATAAAGTCCCTGTAGACAGACCCTGTAAGACGTGCTGGGAGAACATATGGACCTACCAGACAGTCACCTACAATTGCAGCCGACACATTAATTGTAAACTGACGCTGGTGTCTAGCCTGTATTATGCTATGGTGATTCCAATCTTCCCATAAATGTTTGTTGTGTAAATTTGCTTTTTCATTTCTTCCAAATGTTGCCTAATCTGTAAACAAGACTGAAGACAAAAACAGATTGGCAATTTGTGCAATAAACCATCGTCAAAAGTCCTGCCTTGGTGAGTGATCAGAGGGAAAAATACCCTGCACATGTTGCAAAAGATATGGATACAGGAGCTGCCCTTGAAGTACACTCCATACAGTACTATTAGATGTATACTAGGGCCACTTGATGTATGCTGATACCTAGATTGTCTCCAACAGCCTGTAGAATGTGTTGTTCATGGTCAAGTGTACAAGTGGATCTTTGTCGTCCTGGATCCATAGTTTGTGGTACCATGGATCCTGTCTCAGCAACATGATGATAAACAGCAGCAAAGATTTGATGTCTCGACTGCCTAAGGTCTGGAAACGCAATCTGATACACCTGTGCAGACTCATGTTCATTACCATTTGCCCGACAGTATGTAAAAATCATATCTGCCTGCTCATGATATGAATTTCCTGCTGTTGTTAAATGGAAAACTTTTCAGTTAACTCATTGCTACTACTATTAAAGCCACAAATGACAAATGTAACCTAATCTACATGGCAACACAGCACCATCTACCCTAAACTTTCTTTAAACTTAATAACTCAAAAATGAAGGACGTATATGTTTATATGGACTTTTGTCCTTGTTTTGGTGTGAGGAACCCGCCCCAAAGTTTGTAAAAGTATTTTTGATACACTCTCTATCTCTCTCTCTCTATATATATATATATATACACACACTTGGAACAAACTGAATTCTGCCTGATATTTGTATCAACAAATTATATATATAAGGTGCTACTAAAATATTCAGAAATTTCATTATGAAAACAATTAGTTATTGTAACTCGTAGTTTCTACCAAATTCTTTGAAGTTGTTCCTTGTGCAGCATTCTTAGAGGAGCAAAAGGTTCATAATAATACATTTGGTTTGTTTGTGCAGTTTGTTAGATTCATTTACATGCAAATACCCTTGGGAAAAGTATGAATCCCCCCAAGCTATGAGCTAAATAGTAGGACTTGTATCTAGAAAAATCATTGTTATTTTCAAAAAATTGTTAATATTCACTCACAAAAAATAAAAAAATTCTAAAATGATAGAAAAAAAATCAATATATTTTTTTTCTAACAAGTGTCATGGTATAAGCTCTAAAGAATGCTAATAAACAATAATTAAAAACATTTTTCCTGATTTCTTATGAGCGAAGCAGTCTATTCAAGTAGTGCCAAGAATATATCTGCTAAAAATGTTGAGATAAAAATATAAAAAGATGAAGAAACAGGTGAAAAACAAATAAGACATATTTTGCATTTGACAATAATACACTAACTACCTGGGTTGGATAAGTAACAAAAATTCACTGGCTTAGAGAAATAAAAAGAATTCCTTTTACCTTTCGGCTTACAAGGTAGCTTCCGGCAATTGCCAGTCCATGTGTGAAGTTATCTACACAGTTTGCGAAAAGATTTAAATAACCACTGATCTGAAATAAAAAAAGAAAAAGGTAAAAATTTCTTCTCAATGCAGTCTGGCTAGTTTGGATGAATCTGATTACAATCATTATTTAGTTTAGCCCTTTAGCTTTAGGTCATATCAGCAGACGACAACATCTAATCAAAACATTGGCAGCTGAAAACATTAAAGGTTGAGTAGAATAGTTTTCATAAACTTTCACCAAAGGTGCAATTATTTCTTTTATGAGAGATTTACTTTATAAGCAAGAAAAAAGGATGAAAGACCTGGCTGCTTCTGTTCAAACTAATGACTCCACTAAAATGGAATGTAAAAGAAAAAGTTGTTTTTTTTATCCACAGATCTTTTAGTGTTATATAAATAAATATTCCATGATAGATTTAAATAAAGTGGTCAGTAGCAAAAGTTAACTATGAAAATTTACAAATATTATATCTTGTGTAAAAGAAAAAAAAAGAAAATAGGACTAAGATATATTTTTTAGTAACTAGAATTTATGTTTAGTTAGGAAATGATTAGCCATAGTTTTTGCAGTTAATTTAGACTATCATTTTCATATTTCAACAAGATGCCTTCCAAGAAATGCTCATTAAATGAGGTAGGAATTTGAGGAAGGATATTCTTATTTCTCTCTGATCAGTATCCACAAAGATATTTTGGTTTGGGTCAGGGGTGAGCTGGGAGCTGTGCTTAATGACTTTTCCTAATCAAGCTGGCAGAAAGGAATTCAAGCTCCATAAAAGAGGGACCATTTTACCTGCTTGTCAGTCCATCTTGGCAGGCAGCTCTATTTAACATCCTTTGCTTTATCCATGACCAAAAATTAGTAGCAGCTTTCTTGTGTTGCTGCTGAAGCATTTCAATAAACCAGAATCATTCCTTCAACTGTTTTTGTCCATGTTCTTTTGACAACAGAGTCAGTTTTCGATTATGCCACTTTTTCTGCATCCAGCCACAATGATCAGGCAATAAGCAGCATCTAAAACCCAACCTAGTGCTGGTCCAAGGCACAATATTACAGAAGTACCAAGTTGCAGGGTGACATGGCTCTCAAAAAAATCACATCGCAAGCTTTTATTTGTTTGTTTTTTTTTTTTTGCCGGATATCAGTTCCTTATGGGTAACTTAATGCAGAAATTTAATTTTCTTGAGAGCATTAGTAATTTCTTTTACAAAAATGTTTTTCTGGTATTTTTACCATAAAAATGTATTTCTATGCTTTCATAGTGCTTGACCCCAGTTTGGGAGTTAACTATTTGCCCATATTTGGGACCCACCCTAACAGATTCTACCACCCCATGTCAGCGTGGACCTGAGAACAACAGCAATTAAGAGGTGGTTCCATGATCCTCAAAACCTCCAGATCAGAGGTCTTGCTGCCAGATGTAGTCTATCATTATATCCAGGACTCACAGGCTTTTGACAAACTATGAAGTTATATAAAACTCTTCTATTAATAAAATTTTATTGATTTTTAAATAAATAGTTATTATCTAACAAGTGTTTTTATAGTGTTTTTTTTCAAAGGATTCATTTTTACATGTAAATAATTACAGGTCTTTAAATTTTATTTCTGTTCAGATCGATATAAAAATGGCTCTCCACAGCTCTGCTTCCTTAAATATATGCAAATACAGAATTGCCATAATTGTTATTGGGAAAGATAGTGGTGTGGTTTCTGATTCCTTCCTCTACATTTTTTAATTTAAAACTGTTATTCTCTGAGACTGGTTGTTCTTATTAAACAAGAAAATCAAATCTGCCTTACTATATCTGTAGGGAAAGGAATGGATTCATGCCTTCCTCAAGGAAATAAACAAACTTTGTTAATAATAGAACTTGGTCTGTCAATTCATTGTTCACACTGATAACAGCAATGTCACCTGCACATATATATACTATTATTAAAACCAGTAAGAAAATAATTTTTCAATTATTTCAATATTTTTATACAGAACTGAAAAATATCTTCAAATATTTTATACTTTTGGAAAGTAACTAATACAATAGAACAAGTTTTTTAGATTTTGTTTGGAAATGCAACCTAGTGTAGGTACTTTGGGCTGATTATATAATGAAACTGCTCAAGAGGTCATTTGTCAACAAGTAGTTCCCACCTCTATTATATCAAAAGAGTATTTATTTATAAGGCAGCCATTTCAGCATCTCCGGAAGTGGTGTTGGTTATAGTACTCCTTTTATAGAGTGTTATTAAGCAAGGGAGATAATTGAAACATTACAATCACCAACAACCCCATACCAATCATATTGTAAATAAGGATTTGGTCAATGGTTATTAAAAAATGTATATTTAAAGATGAGAAAGAATAAAAAAGAGAAAATTAACTAAATTGAAATATTTCATGAAATGATCCAGTAAGTGAGAGCTGTAGAAGATTAATATTTGTCACTTTTTTTTTATACTGTAAGAAGGTGTCATCTCCTATAGAAACTCACACATTTTTATAAAAACATATGGAAAGCTAATTCAGCATATAAAAAGGCCTAAAAATTTACAGAAACGGCTATGCCAAGGATCAAAGTGTAGTATCTGTTCCAGCAGCAGCCTGCTGGCCCATGGACTCCAAACATCATCAACCACAGATCCAGCTCAACATTGGCTGCTGCTCCAGCCAGCCAGCCACGTCAGCAGCAATGATATGCAATAAACTGTCCTTTTCAGGACAAATTTTTTAAACAACTACAAAACTGTCCTTCTCAGGACAATACTCTTCAATGATCTTCTCTCTGCATGAACATGCAGAGATATATTTTGCTTAGTGCACCATAACCTTTTTTCTGTCAATGTATTTTCTTTAAGTAAAATAAAATTGGCAATATATTTTTTACTCAGGGCTTGGTTTTGTTTTTCGTCATTTAATATCTCTTTGTGGGCCAATATACAACCCACAACAAAGGCATCTAGTATCAATAAACTATTTCATGCTATATCAAGTGGAAAAAAAATCAAATTCTTTAACAGTTTTTTCTGAAGCAACAGCTGGGCTGCCATGGTTGACAAAATAAATTGATGAATGGGAATTGACATGTGTTAATTCAGCAAGATCTTTTATCTTTGTTTTGTAGTATCTATGAAAAAGTGATTAAACCCCAGTTATCTGAAATAAACACCTAAAGATTTCACTTGTGGACTAACTCACTGGTAAGACCTTGAACTGACAGTTATATAGCCTAAGGTCCACTTTACTTCTCACTGAAAGTTGCTGATTTGAGAATGTGGTGTCACAATTCACAAGGCAGTGTCAATTCCATTTCACTGAACTGCCATGAAATTAGACGTAAAAAGAAAGGAGAGGGTATCTTATGCATAAAAGAAGAAACAGGGTTAGCATAAAAACCCTTTTGTTTTGAGATCTCTATTTAGGGCATGGGGTGTGTGAGTGGCATAACAGCTATTGGTGTGGAAAGTGGATTCATTGAGCTGAATTCAAATAACTCCTGCTTAATCTGTTGTGCTTCTATTTGTACAAATACGCTTGGGGAAGGAATGAATGAATTTCTTCTTCTCCAGATATAGGTTAAATAGCAGGGTAGACTGAACTCTATAGCTTTGGTTGGCAGCCAAGCTAGGAGAAAGACTACTATGAATTCAAAACAGTGGAGACTAATTAGATGATAAAAAATAGGGTCATAATAGTCTACTTCCTGAAGGGACATGGCTTTAAATTTTTTAAATAGTGCATATATGAGAGAAGGTGGGAAGAGAGAAAACAAATTTCAACATTTATTGCCTATTTTTATTTTTTGTCAAGTAGTAGTTACACAATCTTAACAAGCATTTAATAAATGATCTGGTATGTGCCATGGCATTTTCCAGGGATTCCTTTACTATAATCAATAGAACGCACTCTGATTACTACTTAAAAGTATAAAGACATTATACATTAAGTCTAGGAAGCCTTCCATCTGTATGCAGAAGGAATGGCTGCTGGCCATTAATGTAATCAGAGTGTGACTATATATATATTTTTTTCCGCTGTTAATTCCCTGATTGTTCTTAATTTATTGTTTCTTTTTTAAAATGTTGTGCACACAATTTACACTTTTGTCCTTGATTGGCTTCAAAGAGTGAGGATTGAAAATTGGTTAGCCTCTTTTTGTAATTTTCTTGTTTATTGCTTTGATACCTCTTTACTGTGATTTATTTTATTATCTTTGCTCTTCTTCCTCCTGTTTATTTTTTTTTTGATGTTTTTTTTTTTCAAACATTTTCTGTATATAGTTATATACAATTACAATATGTCCATTTTTATAGAATTTATCAGTTTTCAATTTTGGTATCCTAATCAATTTTTCAGTTCAATTCATTCAACCTTCATAAAAACGTTTTAATAAAAATAAAGATATTTACCTGAATATTCTCCTTGTTGGTATCATTTTTGTTTTCTGAAGATTCATTTTTTTTTAATTTATCTACTTTTGAAACATCGTCATGTTTGGGAGTCTGGCAAATTTGAGAGTTTCTCTGTGTCAGATTATGACAGGAATGTCCATCTAAACATTTTGAGCTTGTGTGATTTACTTTGTGTTCATTAGTGGAAGATTCATTTAAAGTTTTTTCTGTCACAGGATCCGAACTTTCAACCTCCTTAGATTCCTAAGAAAAAAAAAAAAAAAAAAAAAAAAAACACAACAAAATTTTAGAATATCCTTTTGAGGATCAATACATGTAATATTATAGAATTATACAAGATATCATTGAAAAATTAATGGACCAATTGAATTTAGTGCAAAGATGGCTAATCTTTCAAATGTTACAAATTAATTTTTCTATGCACAAGTTCAGATGCTCCATAAAAATCTTGCTTACTCATTAATTCTTGTAAAAATATTTGTTTTTTTCATTCTTCTACAGCATTTGTTCCCAAATGGTGTGGCAGAAGAGGAGAGCAGGTGAGGTGGAATGATTGAAAGACAATCAAAGATTTAGAAACAGTTTCAAAACATTCGTCTGCCAAAAATAAATATGATTTCAAAATTTAAAATATTATGGATTACTTGTAATTGCATGCATGTGTCACAATATAAATAGTTATAAATAATTATTGACTGATTTTATCACTGTGATATTTTATCATTATATCAAGTATTAAGAATATAATAACTAGGCTCTGCAAATTGGAGGAGAGAGTTATCAATGATAATGTTCTGACTTTGAATCTGAGTTATCTCCCTTTGACCCTCTCTCTTAATTTTTTTCACTGAAGAGATATTTGTGCCTTTTCACTTCTGCCTTCCCTTTGGAGAGGTATGAGCAAATTTTCATCCCAAAAATGTGTCCCAAAGAAAAAAAAATTGAGGAACCACTGTTCTACAGGATATTTGTATTCCAGAATTGACCTGCAAAAAAATCCTTGAAAATTTCAATATCATATTTTGTTCAATTCTAAAAAAATAAATACAGGGAACATAAATAAAAAATTTGTTATTGTGATTTTAAATTTACATCAATTTTTACCTTTATAATGTTTAATCCATGTGTTGTGGTGAGCATTAAAATTACCAAAGACAAAGATGTTTGCAGATGGATTGAGATAGAATGCCTTTTCTATAATGTCAGAGATTATGTCTAATATACGTCAGTCTTGAGAAAAGGAGGAATGATAAAGGAAAAAGAGATAGCTAACAGTGTGTAATAATGAAAGATGAAAGCACATGAAAGTGTTGTATGGGGATTTGCTATCAGAAGATTATTTTGGATGTAAACACCAAGGCCATGCATGTGAATGCTGTAATCTTTTTGGCAAAAGGGATGATAACCTAGAACAGGGATTTCATTGGTCGCAATGGCAGAATTTAAGTTTGTTTCAAAGATATATGGCAACTATTCCATGAGAAAGGATTCTCTACTGCTGAAGTTAGAGTGGATACCATGGACATTGGAGAAAGAAAAGTTGAGGAGAGTAGGTGATTTTTGCTTACTGGCTTGTAATTCTTTTCATTATGTTTGTCATGAGGAGATTTGTGTTGAGAAGAAAAAGAAAAAGCCAACATAATTATCATTATCTGTCGTCAATGGCAAAACAAACTAGTCAGAGCATGGCTGAGGCTAGAGCTGCCCTCTAGAAATACATGCAGGGACACCTACCCATACACAATATGGCACTACAAAAGAGTTTTACAACCAGTCGGAAGCAGTAGCCAGCAAACTGCCAACCCAGTACCCTCATAATGGAAAGTCATAGCCATTGATTAGTCTGGTTGCCAAAAACTTAAGACAATTAAATTATTATGGCCTTGGTTTAGGATTGCGTTTCCAGTTCCTTCTAAAGTTTTCTCATTTTCTTTCAACCAAAGTAACTCTTTGCATCTTAGTGGCAGTATTGCCTTGTAATGATTAGAAAAAAGTAAAAAAAACATTTGATCCATTGACATGTACTCTCAGAAAAAGTAATATTGCCAATGACCATCTTGAAAAGATGTATCCATATTCCAACTCTTAGTTTGCAAACTATATATACACATTCAAATATACAGTACCCTCCAAAAGTATTGGAATGGCAAGACCAACTCCTTTGTTTTTTTTGTTCGCTGAAGACATTTGGGTTTAAGATCAAAAGATGAATACGAGACAAGAGTTCAGAATTTCAGCTTTTATTTCTTGGCAGACATACATATACATACATATATATATATATTTACAGCAAAAGAACAAACATTACCTCAGCATAGACATAGTCTGTTTCAAGCCGTTCAATGCATGGCTATTATCAGCCCTATCATGGTGGGGGGAGTTGCTGATGATAGCTGCGCAAAGAATGGCTTGAAATAGATGAGGTAATTTTTGCTTTTTTGCTGTAAAAAAAAAAAAAAAAAAAAAATACATATGCTCTGTTAAAATAAAAACAACTGCAGATCAGTTTTAATAATATTACTAGGATCCACCCAGATTATATTTCAACGGATCGATTACCTATACTATATATATATATGTATATATATATATATATATATATATATTTTCACACACACAATTCAAGTTTCATGCTCACGTGATCTTCAGACGACTTGAACATTCAAGTCGTCTGAAGATTGTGTGAATGTGAAACTCAGGTTATGACAAGAGCCATCTTTTCATAGGATTTAACATTGTTAAGTGATTTTTGTTCAGTCTAGGCAAACTCAGCTTCAAGCACTTTACTGAGTAGGTAAGTTTGTCTTAGGCCTTTTTTCTGTCTTTTTTTCAGTATTGTCATTTTTATTTGAGACTGTATTTGAATAAGAGTTTTAGGTTTTGGCAAGTTGTCCATTGGTTCCATCAATGAGTTTTTTGTTTTTCTTTAATGTATATATCTCACACACACACAGAGAAATATAGAAAACACACACATCTCAATCACTATATAAATGTGAATCAATATATCTGTAGTCTGACACAGCTATTTGGTGGGATTTAATCTAAAATTTTCACTGTATAATAAATATTCAATTTATGTGATTAATGCAAATAACAGAGTTAATTGACAAAGTAGGAAATTATATGAAAAATGTAACTTATTTCTAATGAATGAAAAAAAAAAAAATGTAAAACATAATTCAACGCATTTAATACACATCTGCTCACTTTTACAAACTAATTGACTGTATCTTTCAGCTCAAACTGTTTCTGGGCCTCATGTGGTGAAAAATGTGTTTGCTTTATTTAAATGAAAAATATTCCAATCAGCATTCTGTTTGTTGCATAAAATAAAATCTTTTACTATCATTAGTCTATGAACTTATTTATATACCTATGTAAGTCCTTAAGATTATCTCAATATTTTGTACAGCTGTGAAGTTAAATGTAACAAAATACGACTGGTATCTCATTGTAGGAAGAGAATCCAATTGTAAATTCATGAAGAAATTGCTGCCAACAATTTAATGTCAGTATTAATTTCATTGAATGATATCTTATCAGTAGACAAAAACCACTTGCCCTGTCAGCAGGACTTAGAATATGCCAACTGTATCTCCTGTAAAGAGTGAAGGCTACTTTCCCATAGACTACCTGCCAACTAAATGCTAATATATTCAAATATAAACAACCAGTATTTACCTATTCCCAAAGTAAGTAAAGGCTTACAGGCTCAAATATAAATTAACAATATTTACTAATCCACAAAGTAAATGTTTACTAACTCAAATATTGTAGTAGTAATAATAATATAAGTAGTAGTAGTAAAGACGGATTTTGACATTAGATGACCCAACAGGAGTTGACAAGTTATAAAATCAACTAAAACAACAAGCATCCCAAATAGGCTAATGCTGAAAGTGGTTCAGATAATTTCCTTTAAGTTGAAAGCATATATTTAGCAAAAATGCATCAAAACATCTGTGTATTAAGTATAATTCATACACTTAAAGATGTATGAATATGTAATTGTAACAATCACTTGATTGAACTGTGATAACAAAATAGGAAAAGGTCTGAGAATCAAATAAACTAGTTCTCAGATTTGTAAATATCACAACAGAAAAGGATGTTTACATTCAAGATTCAATAATAATTTTTATACAGCAAATTTATGACACTATTCTCAAATTTAAAAAGAAAGATTCAATGATATTTTTCATTGAAAAAATTTGGTAGCCAGGTTTTATTATTTTACTGTTGAAATTACAAATTGTAACTAAGTTCTATGCTAATACTTTCTTCTCTCACACTTCTTGTTTGTGGATCTTTCTTCCATCTTCTTGCTTTCTTGTTAACTACAATCATCAAAAATTTAAATGCAGCATCAATTGTCATCTTCTTGAATCCTGGTCTTTTAATGTCCTCTCTCTCTGGCATCAATGTTTTCTCAGTTTCTTTCACTCTTTGTATTCTCTTGTATTTTAGTGGCTTTATTGCCTTGCTTGGAGTGAAATGATAAAAAATAGAGCACTAAGTGGGCTTTCAATTCTACTCTGAAAATGATTTCTTTACAAGTCGTTACTTTATCAAATTCACAATGTTAAAAGACTAAATTCATCTTGATAAACTATCAGCTGAGTATATTATCAAGTTCCAAACTCAGAAATATTCTTAAGTTATTAAATCATGGCATTTCACTTTATTTGGATTAATTTCCTTGTCTTTGCTATTTTGTCACAAAGTTTTGGCTGTGTACTGACCAGCCTTCTTCAAATGTTTGTTATGTTCTGGAATCATGAATCTTGCTCTGTGGTGACATGTACCCCTCCTTCTATACATGTCATATCCAGTGCCTGTCCCCATATATTTTTCTGGTTGCTTTTCCAGAGCCATGTGTTGAAACTGTGGCTCTCCAAAGATCTCATCAAACTTTTTTAAAATTATTAAATCATCATAATTTGTCTTAAATTTATAAAATCCTTACAATTTCAACTGAAATTCAAAATCCAAAATATCTCAATAATTCAAAATATCTCAATAATTTCAAATAGTTAAGGGCGGGGGTGGGGGGAAAAAGAGTTTGAAATCTTAAATAATTTAAATAATACTAATTTTACACTAGGAGATTGATCCATTTTGCTTTACATGTTGCATTATTAAAGACAAGGAATAAGAACATAAGAAATGAACTTAAAAGAGATAAGGACATTTAAATTCAATTAGTTATTGGAATGAGTTAATAAAAACAATGCATAAAG